TCTCAATCGCCATGACACGGAGTCTTCCTGGGGCGGTATTCAATCCTTCCCCCAGGGGGATATATCCCCCTCCTCTGATTCAATCCTCTGGGGGGACAAAAAAGGGTTGCGTCATAGGACCTAGCATACCTCTGTGTTTCTACCTGCCAGACAGTTAGAGCAGCGCTACTACCCTCCACTGATGAAAGCACTCTTTCCCCTGAGGGGTCGCGCTGCTCTAACTGTCTGGCAGGTAGAAACACAGAGGTATGCTAGGTCCTATGACGCAACCCTTTTTTGTCCCCCCAGAGGATTGAATCAGAGTAGGGGGATATATCCCCCTGGGGGAAGGATTGAATACCGCCCCAGGAGCGCAGCTGCTTTCAAACGTTTTTTTTTCACGAAGGAGGAGGTATGTGCATGGAACACAGAACTGTGGTTCATTTTTCCTAAGCGCCCTCTGAATACTAAAAAAGGAGTGAAGTAAAACTCCTCTGAAACTGCCGTTCTTAACTTTCTTCAAGCCATTTTTTTTAGCCAAACTCTACGTATTAATCTTGTTGATGATCCTAATTATACATATGACATGAGTTGTCTATGTTGATAACCCTATTTTTGGCGAAATTTGAAACGTCAACACAAAATGCAAAAAAATTGTCATTGCGAGGATTCGAACCACGGACCACTTCACCACGGTCGACGGACTACTTGAACTTAGCCCCTTAAATCGCCTCTGCGCTGTCTCGCGGGTCCCTCTCCTCTCCAAGGCTTAGTCCTAGGCATTCACCCGTTCTCTAATCGTCTGTGCTCTAGCCATCGCGGCAGGACCATTGAGGAAAAATCAAGTAGTCCGTAAACCGTTATACCACGAGGGGAACAATGGATCACAGTGAGCAGTAGATACACTGTTTACTTGCTTAATCAAATTGATTGCCCTGGTAGAATTCTGTTTATGCGTTTGTTTGTAACGAAAAGCTCTATTAAAAAAGTTGTAAATCTTGAAACAGTAAAAGTCTACGGCTAACTGGAGTACTGAACCGTTGCCGTAACCTTATGTGGGTCATTTTTTCATCAACTGGCTTTTCTGATTGTATTGGCACTATTCAACTACTCACATAGGGGCCTCCATCACTGGAACATCAACCAGGTGAAAGAGGAATTGCTGAAAATTGGTCTATGAGGGTATACCAGTGCGCTGAACGAATACGAGTATGATATCCACCTTGACGTAGGCGCCATCAGGCGTCAGTATTGTGCCCAGTCGCTCCAAAATAGAGTTTAAAAGTACTAGCACCAAAAAGAATGTCATATTCTTACCAGGGTAACGAATGCCTACCATACCTCAGCACAGGGAATTAGGTGGGAACAGGCGTTGCACGAAGTTTGTGCCAAACTGCACCGAATGTAACGCGAGATATACCCTCGCCTTCAAATGACCAGAAATTGTGCAATTGCAGAAATTGACGTGGCATTAACGTGGCATCGATTCAAGAACATCTTTGAGCACACGTGATGTCACCTTTTCATCGAGAATTTAGCCACGTGTGCCAATGCCACGTCAATTTCTGCAATTGCACAATTTCTGGTCATTTGAAGGCGAGGGTAACTATCACATTCCTTACCAACGCTCTGCATTACCCCTACAGATGAAGTTTCGATGAGAGATAAATTTTGAGCCTTTGGTTGGGAATAGCGGAGCAGTGCTTCCCTTGCCTCACCGTAACGATGTGCTGCGTTTTATGCGATCGAGAATTTTCAGATATTGAGGAAATCGACTGACGCAAAATTACCAGTCGATGTATCAAGGCTAATACAATTTTGGCGCTCATCCAGTAAGGGGGGGGCATCAAGTGGCTGCCCCCCCCCCCCCCCCCCTAGACTGCCTACACTCCCCCTGGCGCACAGGTTTCTCGAAGTACGGGACCCCGTGAGCCAGGGGGAGTGAAGGCAGTCTAGGGGGTGGGGGTGAGGGCAGCCACTTGACGTTGCATCACAATGCCCCCCCCCCCCTTACCGGATGAGCGCCCAATTCTGAAATGCTCCACTTCCTAAAATTAGGGACAGCTGCACCTCATTTCACTAGCATCACTTGAGGTGTAGCTGTAATAGGACCGAATAACAAGATTATCATCAACTTTTGCAATTCTTCCTGTCACTTGATTTGATTCAGCAATTGCTGCTTCGCAAACGCTCCTCGCAACATACGAAGCGAGTGAATGATGAAGTGGTGCTTGTGTCGCTCAAAGAGAGCTGCCAGCCTTGGTACAGGGCGCATCAATGCTGACGCGTGTTACGGTAACAGTGAATCCGCAGCCTGAATTGCAACGAACGTTACGATCGCACAGCAATAGATGCGTATCGGTCGTCCGAGCCGTGGACATATGCGCGTCGAATGCGTTGCTACAATCGATACGCATCCAAAAACAAGTAGTCCGTAAACCGTAACCGAGGTGGGAAGGTGCTATCTTAGTTGGGGGGGGGGGCACGCGGCGGCGCGGCGCTCTGTTCGTCTCCTCCTCAAAAGGCTTAGTCCCAGGGGCAGTTACGGTGCTATACAAGTAATGTCGCCGCATTTTTTGAACAGAAAAGTATGTCAGTAGGACTGTTGCCCGCTGCTGTACTGTCACCAGAATCGGGGAATTCGTGAGCCAGGGGGAGTGTAGCCAATCTAGGGGGTGGGGGGTGAGGGCAGCCACTTGACATGCGTGAAAAGCTGGACGTGCCCATCCCACTTGGCCGCCCCGTTGCCCCCCCCCCCCCCAACTAACATAAGATAGCACCGGTGGGAAAGCCTACATCGCCGCGCGACACCGAAAAGTCGCATTTGAAATTCGCGCGCTCTACCGTGTCTGCGAGCAATTGACAGACGGCGACCGCGCCTGCGAATCTAATGCCTGACGCGATCGATATCGCCGCAGATGATTTCCGTATCGATCGTTTCAGCGGCCGTAATGAAGGTGTGGTCGTCGGTCGGTGGGTGTGCGTCAGTTGCGGTGTCGCGACCGCTCAAAAGGGGTTCCCGTCCAGTCGTCGCCATCCCACGGCCCCGTCGTTTCTGTTCGTCCTTAATCTCCCGAAAATTGGGGTATTTACAAAAGTTGTTTTTATGCTAAGGCCAGAAATAAGTCGCGTAAGAGCGATCAATTACGGTTCATAAGCAATTGCCTTTGCCAGAAATGAAGCTTTTTGCATGCTAACAAAGCAGGGTATCGATTTTCTTTTGAGCTTGTTCGTTGTCGCGTGACCTGCCGCCGGCTGGGTTAATTATGCACGTAACGAGTCAGCAGCTTGTGAACTACTGAACCTTTGTGAACGGGTTGTGCTAAGGCTTAACGAACGTGTCATCCTTATTAGGGTTTAAGCTCCATTGTGAAGTGTCATCTTTTGTTCATTGGACCGGATGCATCTATCTCCTTCTCGTCAGAATCTTCGCAGTGATGAGAGTTCCACTATCGCCTAGATTTTTGATCCATTACAGCCTTGATTTGTTATCTTTTGTCTGGTATTTCCTGTTTGTAAAGGGTATTTGATCCGAGTTGCGTCTATTGTAAGGATTTCTCAAACGAATAAAGTTCTTTTGTCTTGAAATCTCGCCGATAGTGATTTTTCTTGCGCTATCGCAAGATACGGGGCATTGTGGCAGTGCGTCCAAAATCATGGGAAGGACCCCTTTTTTTTGTTAAAAACAGAAGTACGCCTAGGGAGGGAGGAGAGACTCCAGAGTGCGTGAACAAGCTTCATTGTTCCCGAAGTTCTTAGTTTCTAGCTCTCCTAGAAATGGGCAATCATAGAATTTCCAACATTCCTCACCCGATGTGATGAGTATGTCATCTCTACATTCCTTGGAATAAACGCCCAAGTTTTCTTTTATTAGTGATGTTGAGCGCTGTTTTTCTCTTCCGTTCACCATAGTTCTCTCAAAGGTGCTGGGTTATGTTTTCAACGTCACTGCTGGAAGAAGAGTGGGCTCATTCATCCCAGAAACTGCTGTAAATTGCGTTGCCGTCAGGGTCAGCTCAGCATCGCCGGAAATTCCGTAGTACCCTTTTCCCATCTCTTTCTAACACCCTCAGCATGAGACTGAAAATGCCGCTAGTTTAGTTACCTATACAGCAGTGAAAATTCCTCAAAATTTCAAGCATGTCGTTGGAAAGTTCATCCAAGCCTTGCCCTCCTATACGTTCTATAGAAAAATTCGAATACTCTCCTCCTACATGAAGGCCACAACGAATACTTGACTATCATTGCTGTAGCTACTGCTTTGTCTTGCTGGACAAGCTGACCACAGCCAGTTGTTCTTGTGCTTAGGCGTCTTTTTCATATTTTTTGAAACCAATCAATTTCCTTCCAATCACTTGTTGCTGGTAATAGTTATGTTATTTTCTGTCTCCTGCACTGTAGACTGCCGGCTTCAGGAATATGAAAAATACCAAATAAGTCGTGGAGAACGGATTGAATCTGGAAACCCCGACGCGCATGCGCTTCACCATGTTGTGAATGTGTACACTAATGGTACCCCCCCCCCCCCCCCCCCCCCCCCCCCCCCCCCCCCCCCCCCCCCCCCCCCCCCCCCCCCCCCCCCCCCCCCCCCCCCCCCCCCCCCCCCCCCTCCTCTCGTATAATTTATGCTATAGAACGACTTCGGGTTGTTGTTGAAGGGGGGGGGGAGGGTAACTGCTGCAAGGTGCTTCATTCAAGTTCAGCAACCCATTGAATTTTCCTCTCCAGTCTAATTCGAAACAGCACCGTGAAGATATTGGAGTTTCGCGAAGAATAATCATTCTCAATTCATTGAGATGAGATTTTCGAGTTGGTATTGGGACGGAAACTCATAAAGAACTTGCAAAAATCAAAAATGAGCTTGTTTGTGCGTATGCGGTCACGAAGTTTTTACTTCATTCTATTTACTTGTATTATAAAAGCAATTTGAGTTAATTAGATGTAGCTGCGGAATGTCTTAGTTGTGAGTGCTTTGCCTCGAATTTCCGGCGGACGTCATGATGGCAGTGATGGGATGTAAATGCTGCCTATTGCTAAGTTTTGCTGTAACCAATATATCTCTATATTTTTTTTGCTGTTCCGCTCTTATATAGATATGCACTGCTTTATAGCTCTAATGTGCGTGGTTGAGCTCCTCAAATCTACTTGACTTTTTTCGTTCGATATCTTGGTTAGCAAGTGCGTGGAGTTTGGCGCTACAGTAATGCGCAATAGATCCGCGTTTTTTGAAGGATTGGGACGTTCGTCGGCTGAAGAATGTGATCATTTTAATCAATTTAACCGTCTCCCAAGTCATGACTCTCAAATTCTTTCTTTTTCAATGTTCACCGAGTAGTCATTGCTGAGTTTTTACCGTCATATTGCTGCACATACACCAAGCGTGAGGACAGAAGTTTGACACGACCATACAAACAAAGCAGTTAAGGTATGATACCCAGCCCTTCGAGCAAGGAGAGAAAACTATTGAAACCCCACAATCCTGGAACTTCGCCTGTAAAAATATGTCAACCTCCGGTAGGTTCTTCATAATACTCGCAACTTTGATCAATATTTATTTCTTTCAATTATGAGCCCTTGGACCTTTTGACTACCCGATCTAATCTTTGGTTGTTAGGTGCGTTCTCCCCTGGTTACACCAACGAAAAGCTACGGTGACAGATTTATTCCGATTCGGAAACCGAACCAAGAGTGGACCACGCGATACAATGCCATAGTTTGTCCTGAACAAGAGGTTTGTTCGGGTTGCCTACTTTTACTTGTTTTTTCATTTGGTAAAACCTTCAAACTTACTATTTCAGTCGCCTGCTAGCTTTAAGCGTCCCACAGCAAACCGTACGCCGACAACGACTGCAAACGTGACCAATAATAATGGCAGCCCTAGTTCACAGTACAATCAAAACCAGGTAATGCTTATTATCTTTTTCTTATTTTGCCTTCGAACTTCAGTTTTTTATAATGTGAAGAATTTTTCTCGGAGCTTTGGCTTGCAGGACTTATCAGAGTCCTCTTTTGTATTGTGCATAGTTTTAGATCTAAAAACTTCCATTAGACGATTTTTACTGAAAATGCTCTTCTAGTGAAAAGTATAGGGTGTGTAGGTTGTAGGTAATCTTCAGCAGTAATTGACGGTTATTAGGGTAGAAATAATACCGTAGTTGGGAGTCGAAAGGATGCGATGGGAATCAAATATAGGACGTCGGGAGTGTGACCGGGAGGAGTAATCTTTCAGTATCGAAATGCATAAAATTGTTCACACAAGTTAATGGTATAGAAAGGTGGCAATTTTTCCCATGGAGATCCAAAGGTAAAGAGCCAGTATCACGATTCAACCTCGTTCAAGTCTCAGGATGACGGGAGTGGGATTCCAGAATCTCTTCTTTGAATCCGATGTAGATTGTGAGAGGCACCTCATAGGGAATTGTTGCTAACGTCAAAGGAATGAGATTAGACCCACATTTTACTATAGCATTTTTAACTGAAGCAACTCATGGCTTTCGTTAATGTTTTTACTTATATGATCCTTTGGGACAGTTTTTTCATAGCTTGAGATCGATCAGTTTTTGCAATTGATAAGCTGCCTTAAGTTTTTCTACCATTGTTTTTACCGAGAGCGTAAATACCTTATCATGGTAAGGCAACTGCGATCGCTGCAAGCGTTATGTCTCTATGTGGTACTGACCCTCTTCTGTTTTGAATAACTTCAGACAAGGAAAATTGGTATCATATATAATCTATTTCCAGAACACGAACAGTGAAGAATCGCGACAGGATCAAATGGTTGTACGAGCGTTGCTTCGCAATGAGTTGCTGCAGGATAGAATCGACGATATACGTGTAGGTTTCCTTCGTTTTTCTGCTCGAACACATGGAGGATAGCAAGCGTTCCGGGTTTTTTGGCTGCGTGGGACAAGGGCGATTTTGGGGGCACGGCCGCCTCACATCGTATCCTCGGATTTTGAGTGTTGAATTACAAAATATAAATGCCACAAAATCGTTTCAGCAATGGTCAGTGCAAGGAAGTTTTCTGAGGTGGCAAAAGAATTTCGTCTAAAAGAATGTGGCATGAAAAAACGTCTCGTCCCATACGCGCGCTAAGCAAATGCGCTCGTCGTCAACCTATTAATGACAACAAAAAGAGACTGAATTGGAAATTCCGTTGTGCTTGAAAATTTCCTTAGGGCATATTTGAACAATCCGTGTGCTAAGTTGTTTCCGGTTGTAATTTGTAGAAAAATTTCAAAGTGAGCTGCGGATGCGTGAAAGTAGTTGCTGGGCCCACAAGTCCCGCGCTGTACCACGTGGCCTGCAAAGCGAAGAACCTGTGTGTTCTCCAATGTCTCAGTGTTTAAAGAATCAGAAGCCCTTCGTTTAACACCTTGGAGCCCACGCAGCCCATATGTGGGCTGCAGTCCTCCGACCGCATAGGACCTTTCAGCTCGCATTTCGGAAACAATTATTAGGTTTTTCATTCATTTTCTTTTCCATTTTATCCGATAAGATTTCTTCTGCATTATACAGTGGGTTCTTCTTTTGAATTTGCTAGATAAGATCCCTAAAAATTTCACCGAAGTCCCGCGCGGCCGCGGAACGTAAAACACGCGCGGTCTCCAAAGTGTTAAATTATTGATCCACTGATCGCCTTTTTTGTTATGTATGAAATAGTTGTTTTGATTCAAGTCGTGCTACAAGGATCTTGAGACAGAGAAGCCACCAAGTAGCCCCGCTGGAGGACTCTTTAGCTACATCAAGCGAACACCGACTAAATTAGGGGATCCTAGCACTTCTCATAGGTACAGTTCGTTTTTCCTAAACATTTGATAGCAACAATAGTAACTTTTCTCGCACCACCTCGTGCAGTTTGATTTGGTTCATTTTACTACTTCCTTTAGCTTCGCATTATCGCCCTTTTCTGGTCCATTGAGCGAGGATAGTCAAAGACTCTTGAAAAGTCCTCGAAAACCACAGAGGAAAGTTCCGAAAAATCCGTATAAGGTAATCCTTCTCTCCTAGTTTGATATCGTGTAAATGCAAGGCTTTGGTTTCAAACAAGTGTTCCAGGTGCTTGATGCTCCTGAGCTTCAAGATGACTTCTATCTGAATCTAGTCGATTGGTCCTCCCAAAATATGCTGTCTGTGGGTCTGAACACTTGTGTTTATTTGTGGAGCGCTTGTAATAGTCAGGTAAACTTCCTGTTCTTATTTTGAAATTGAGCATTCACCTGTATTTTGAATGTGCATGATAAAGGCACTGAATCCGATCTCTTTCAATAAGAATGTCTTCTTTTTGATTTGTCAAGGTAGAGGCAAGGTCATGCGGAGATTGGAGAATTTTTTTTTGATTCGCTCGCAGTAGGCAGGCACTATTGCGAATGAATCAATTTTTACAGCTGTGTGCTGCGGTAATGAATGAAAAATTCCGGAGTGGAACTTGTGATGCCCATTACATGTGTAATGGGCATGTGCTGTGGCAATGTCATGTGCTTGCAAGATGTGTGCCAAATGAGAGGAGGATCACTATCACAATTATAGATACCTAAAGCAAAACTATCCTTTCAGGTTGTTAAGCTGTGTGATTTGGTGAATGATCAGGACACCGTGACTTCGGTGCAGTGGGCGGATAAAGGCGAACTCCTTGCTGTTGGCACAAACCGAGGAATCACTCAGGTATATTTTTTTCTTATGTGAAAATTGTATTGATACATGTCAGAAAGGTGTCTGTTTACAGATATGGGATGTGCATAGTCAAAAAATGACCATGGAGCTGTCTGGTCACACGTCACGCGTTGGGTGCTTGGCTTGGAATGGCGACCTTGTTTGTTCGGGCAGCCGTGATCGCCATATTATCCAACGTGATATTCGCCAACCTCATAACACAGAAAAGAAAATGAGTGCGCATCGTCAAGAAGTGGGTGCACCGAAGTGTTTTTATGAAAAGAGCAAAAAAGGTGCTCATCTTAGCAGCTGTTCGTTCGGTTTTTTGTTGTTCCATGGGATCTTCTTGGAGTTCTTTTAATAAAAACGATTGCAGAGAGAAAGAAATTAGTCTGAGATCACATTGTAATTACAATTTGTTTCTTCAGGTCTGTGGTCTCAAATGGTCACCTGATAAGCAGTATCTCGCATCCGGTGGAAACGATAACCAATTATTGGTGTGGTCAATGCGACGCACAGATCCTAGTCAAGTGAGCTCTTTGGATTGGTAATATCTCGTGTTATTTGTTAACACGCGTTTGGTCTTTAAGACGCTACTATGATTTTTTATCACATTATCCCATTTGTCAGAATGCTGTTCATTTTCTGCCCTGGAATTTTGTATTTTTGCGCAGTTTGTTCGGCTATTTTGTTTATGGGATCTCGGTTTCTTTTTCTATGTAGGGTTAAAAATTTTGCTCATTTGAGTATTGGAATTAGTTATAATTAATTGCCGGTTTCCAAGTCAGCAGGTTGTCTTTAGACATTCACTGAACATAGTGCAGCAGTGAAGGCACTCGCGTGGTCGCCACATCACCATGGCCTATTGGTGTCTGGAGGAGGGACCGCGGATCGGCACTTGCGATTCTGGAACACGTTGACCGGTCAGCCAATGCAAGCTATCGATACGGGAAGTCAGGCAAGTATCAGTGCATGGCAGACGATGGTGTTTAGCTAGCAGACCAACTTGAACCTCCTCGCAGCCATATTTTTATTGATGTGGTTTTAGGTGTGCAACGTAGCGTGGTCGAAGCATAGCAGTGAGCTGGTGTCAACTCATGGTTACTCCCTGAATCAGGTTCGTGGATTGAGACGATTTGATTATATTAATTGCCCCATGAAACAAACTTATCCATCATCCAATGTATTGTTGCTTCAGGTGATAATATGGAAATATCCAAGCCTTCAACCGGTGACGAAGCTCTCTGGTCATCAGTTCCGTGTTTTGTACTTGGTTCGTATACAATCTGATTAGTTGACATTAAGAGCTGATTTTCAGAATCAGCAAACTGTTCTGTTTTCTGAAATTTTGTCATCTTATAGGCGATGTCGCCGGATGGAGAATCGATTGTTACTGGAGCAGGTGATGAAACACTGCGATTTTGGCACGTATTTAGTAAATCTGGCCAACAAAGGGCAGCTCGAAGCAAGTTAAATCTCTTCCACAGTTTGCGATGATTCCCACGCCTGCAATCTTCTGTATCAGTGGGAAAAGTACGTTGACGGGCAGTGTGCTTCTGTTTCTGCATTATGCTTTCATTGTTTACAAAGAGCATTTGCTTTCACTTTCAAATTTCTATGTTGTTTGTTTTTGCTGCTCCTAAAGCAGTGTTCCCTGTTTAATTGTTTGAACTGGTGTGGGAACATTTCTCCGAATAGCGACGAAGAGTTCAAGTCCCATCAGCTTTTCGGGAATGTTATGTATTATTTTCTGCAAGTATTTCACGCTGAAGATGTTCTCACCTCATCAGCGTTTTCCGAGATAGCTATTTTGCAAATGGAACAGATTTTAGGTCTTTTTTCTTTTAGTTCTTTTATCGTTATTGTTTATGCAATGTACAGCTAACTGACATTTTCTGTGATACTTGGCCGATAACGCGATCTCTACCAGAAATTCTGCTGTTCCGACATCTTAGTCCCACTTTACGTTGACCCTCTGAGAGCGATAAAATACCATTTTATGCAGCATGAGTTAAGGAAGTGACTTACCCAATCAGTCGGTACGGGGATGATATTTTGTTGCTGTCTGCATCTACGGATTTCACTGTTCTTCCAATAGTGGACATAGATAAGGTAATATCACATCATCGGCGGTCCAATTAAATGTGGTGCTATCGAAACGTATGCAGTAAACTACGGCATGCATTTCTGTAGTTAGAAATTATGATTGGTTATTCCAAGTTTTAAATTAGTCGCGGCCTCTGTGCCACTGTAGGGATGGTGCCGTCAATTTCTCGTCTGTGGTATCGCGTTTTAAGACAACGATCGTTGTCGACTAGTCGTTTCTCGTCATCCTGTCATATACTACACATGTATGGGACTGCTTACAATAAGGTATAACGTAGAGTCATCCGTGTTCAACTCTAAACATCTTCGATGACTAATGCTAATTACTTTTCGTCGTTGACCATTTTGATTCGCTGCGGCCTATATTTACGGCAATTATGATACAAATTTATCCTTTAGTGGTGTTTCTCGTTCATTTTTTACAACTCTTACCATCATGTGATGAGTAAGTGCGAATGCTCGTTCCGTTTTTTCCGTGTATGAGAATTGTGCATGTGCATGCGTGTGTGTGTAGTGTTCGCGCTCAATGATGATCAGTGTGCTATACTTTCTAAAAGCGCGCGTCAAACGCTGCGTTGTGGCTATACTACATGTTCCATGTTCTGTTCTAATATTTATTCTTTTGATGAATTAAGAAATAATAAACGAGTCAATGAGTACCGGTTTGTGGAGCAACGTTAGACGAAGTACAAACATAGAAAATGACCCATATCGAAAATCTATGTACACATTTGAAGGCGAATCGGCAACCTTACTTCCATATCTTAATAACACCGTCTGACCCAGCTGACACTAAAATATCGGATTGCAGGCAGAGTACATCGCTGATTGAGGTACGGTGCCGAGTGGATGCGTAAGTCTGCAATGCCAATTGATTATTTGGGCTATAAAGGGTGACGTCAAACGGCGATTGTAATTGTCCGCGTTCTGTCTTCATTTTCCTTGAGCTAAAGAGGATCTGCCTCAAGTTCACCATCCTCGCGCAGCCACTAGGGCTCAGTATCTTTGGATGTAAGGCTGGTGTCAGAGTCCGCGATCCGTCGCGTGATTCGCGCGAATCGCGCGACGGATCACAGAAATCACAAGTGCCCGATCAATACTGCAAGGTGCTCTCCAATCCCGCCGCCATTTCTGCTTGATGGTGATGGTTGAATGACGACTGTTCATGATTCTACTTGTTTCATATTCAGTGTTTCAAATGTTCAGGCACTTGCGATTTCTACGACGCGCGCGACGGATCGCGGACTCTAGCACCAACCTAAGATTGTATTAGAGCGAAAATATTGTCTCACCCTCAATTCGGGGAACGTTCGTATCTTGGTCTGCTCGTTAGGAACTCTCATTTCGTATATCGTAGTGGGCTGCCCGTCAGCTCCTGGCATCTCGTTGTACGCGATTCGGTATGGGGATCGAGCTGAAACATGATCTTGGTTACAACACCAACTGCAAAGCATTTCAGATCGTTGAACTCAATGTCAACAGAAATGGATTTTTAGAACCAGCAAATCGGAAGTATGGCGAGAGCATTAAGGAAAAGAGCTATCACATTTCCCAGGTTGAAAAATCTTGCAAATAAAAACAAGCCTATGAGCCTTGAATATTTACAAACAGTTTCCGTAAGCAAATAGGGGAATTCTAGCCACTCCAAACGGGGAATAAAAATCGGCAGAAAAACCGTTCGTATACGAGCTAATGAAAATATACCGGTTATCTCTCTCGGACCGCTAATGTACTCGCACAATGGTGCGCGACTGAGATTCCAACGACGAAGGCTGCCTTCTGTGTCGCCTGTATATACAAATCCTGTGTCCATGCAAACGGTCAACGCTGTGGTTACATTACGTAGATCATCCTGAATCGCAATATCGGTGAAAAAATTCCACATGGAGCACTTATGCAAAAATACCCACATCCGCGGCCCCAGTTTGCATGTACGAGAAGGGATCTGACAGTGAAGGCCACAATGTTCTGCAATATTTTCACATTTTTTGTATCTCCTATTCGCAACATAATCTAATATTGAACGCTGCCTAAACGATGAACCTATGGAACAATTTTCGATTCATTTCAAACCACTCACCTCGACGGACTTGTCGTACCAAGCTCAAAGACGTCAACCTCTCCACGTGTACCGTAGGCAACAAAGACCTATAATGAGTCATTAGAGCTTCCGTTGACCTTTTAATCTGAGTAAGCCGGTAGTTGGCGCATGTTTTGACGAATAATTCCAAGTTCCAGCAAAATTGCAAGCTGATCACAGCCGCGCTCACTTTCCTCCCATAACACCTCTCAGGAAAGAGCTTAATTCTGCAGGGAACCTGCACCTAGTGGGTGGTATAGGAGCCATCGCTTCAAAACCAGCTTAGTGTTAGACAAAAAAGCATAATAATCACTCTACAGTGCCTTACATGCTGGAGCATTCAAGAGATACCTCCAACTTCCTATCTCAGTCTTTTACCCAACACATACCAAGTTCGGACCAACCAGCCCTTGAAGAAAGCCTGTGAAAACCGTCACCCAGGCTGGCTCCTGGCTGTCAATACGACCCATCTGACAAGGCGATCACTCCCACACTGACCGTCTAAAAGGAAGCCTTTCAATCAAAATCTACCTCTGGCGGTGTCTGCATATATGTTGATGAAAGGGGATTTGACCATAACCGCAGAGGCAAAAGTCCATGTGGCGTTTTCCAGGCGTTCACCTCCACTTGGAATCTTAAGAAGAACTTAATTGATATGATTATTGAAACATAATTCCATGAATAAATGGAATAAAGTCCACTTCTCTAACTACATATAAAACTGATATTATTTTTGAACAGTGCGCAAGGATCAGCCTTTCCAGTTTTTTCAATGGAGCAATTCAAAGGACAGAACCCTCGCGACAGCTAATTAGCGTTGAAGGTCATGCTATGCTCGTAATAGGTTGTTCACTCGGCGAGACACAATGCGAAGTGACAGGATAATTTGTGACCACACAAAATTAGTGGGGACATTATCATTTAGATAAAAAACCTTTACATAGCTCCCTCCGAATGCAAGTGTCAATTTTTTAAAAGAATATGCCCCCACTTGTTCAAATTATTCTGTTGTCGTAGGGAATACAGCTCTCTCCCTATATTGAAACGCAATTTTCTTTTGGTTTAGGAGCGAATTCCTTCACTTCAGCTCCCACGCTATTATTAACTTATATCATTATGAAATGAGGATCCAGTTCTATACGTAATAATCTCGCAGCAACTCCCTACCTCACATCCTTCATCGCATGAGCTCGTTATTTCCGTAGCTGACATTACCATCTCAGTTTCATCCATGATATGAGTCGACAATGTGACGTTACCTTAACTGCGTTGCACAATTACATCAACAGTGAAGCGTAGAAAGAAAAAAAAGAAGAAACGAAGGAAAGAGCAAAAATCGCAAAATTAATCTACCACCATGTATTCTCAACTACGCTCCCGTCCCAACCTCCTGAAAATCCTAATGAACGCCATATCGTTTTCCAACTCTATCCAATTAAATATGAACCATGACATCTGGAATTCAGATAATGTTAATAAAGCCTCACGACATCTCACATGCATCACATCAACTTCTTGATCAACTTATTGGCACTAAATTTTGACTTCAGACACAACCGCTCACTTGCAACCTCGGATTCTACTAATGTGCAACGCACTCGAACGAGCACTCAGTCATTGTAACAGGTTGCATGGTTGCAATGAAAAAACTATGCAAAGCGATTGGCTAACCTAATAAAGTCATAATCTTTCACGTGGATGGAAATTGCAATAGGAGTACTTATAGTTGTGGAGGCAGAATGAGGACCGTGCCTAAGGAGGCCGTCGCAATAATCCCTTAGAAGAGGTCATTCCTAGTCAAAAATTATCTTCGTCCACTTGGTCCCCTCTGCTCAGCTTAACTGTGCATGTTCCCCAACCGTTCTGTCTACTCTGATTGAGTTTTCACGATTTCTACTCTATTTATAATCAAACTCGCATGGCCTTCCCCTTCTATGCTATCCTTATCCACGCCGAGTTTTCTCAAGCTCTCCTCTCGCTACTGATCTACTTCAATGAAGCCACTGTAAGATTTCCTACGATGGATGCATGCGTTCGTCGACGAAGGCCACCACCTAAAATACTCATCCAATGATTCTCCAACTAAGTATTACCTCGATCAAGACAGTAAATTCACCGTCTGACCTTCGGAATCATAACATTCGTTTAGACATACCCTGATCCTGTTCAGCGTGGCACCCGATTTAGTCATTGAACCTGGAAATCGCTCACCACTGAAATCTGTCTGCTGTTATTGCTTTCCATTTCCGAACCTGCATGCTTCTCACCCTCACAAAGACATTCAAGCAAAACGAACCTTCGTAAGGATTCGTGGTTCGCTAGCTGCGCAATCGACCCAAAGAACGTGACCGTCGCCGATAGCTGCCGCGATGATTTCGTTGCTAGCCCAGCCAATCGACGAAACTGGGTAGTCTAGAATTGCGATTTAATTATCGTCGCCCGATATAGGTATAGCGGCTGGCACCGCCTTATCACCACATACTATGAGGATCAGATTATGAATCAAGGCCAAAGAAACCAACTCTTCATCCCTCGGGGCTAGTAAATTGATACCAGACTGGTTCGGCGGTAGAGGGGGGGGGGGGAAGGGAACAAACGAAGGGTTAGCAGCATTGCCAACAAGTAACAATAGGTATACTTCTAAGGCCAAAATGCATTCATAAGTCAATAAGACCCACAATGGAAGTGGAATGCGGGGCGCATCCCAAAAGAAATGCTCCACGCGGATTTTACGATGACAAGGCTGCCCACTAGAAGTGGAATATAAACGCAAAGAAACAAAAACTGACAACAAGTGGTCGAACACCGTAAACTATAAACGTTAACCCTGCACGTTGATTACGCATTATATGATCTTCACCTGGTACTTGGGCCCCTTTTTGAACCCCAACCGCCTCTCTTAACCACGTGTAAAGACCCACAGACATGAAAGCCGAAGAGGCGTTACGACAACTGCGCGCCGCGGAAGCCATGAATAGAATCGCCAAGGCATACTCTTCGATCGCGGAGTGGTTCTGTCCCCCGCACCCTTACAGGGAGCCTCTTTTCCACAAGTACGTTTCCTTCTTCACCTTCGACACTTTATGTGGAATCTCCTACTTAGCGAACGGTTATTCTTCATCCGCTTTTTTTTTGCAAAACCCACTTTTGTTATACAAGAACGAGGCATCTGATCTAACAGATGGCGCAGGGCCATCTCCAACAACGTTTCGCGAATTCCACAGTAAAACGTGACCCATCAAGAATCCTGCCTTGACCCAGCGAATCCGAGTCCGGTCTGGTTGCACAGCCAATCTGAAAAGCTGCTATCATAATATTGTCAAATAAATCGAGCTGCATTAGCTAAGTCGAGAATTTCAAGAAGAAAGCGTAGAATTAGTATCATGTTCAATAAAAAAACCAACTGGGTAACTTTTCCCGTGTGCTCGTATTTTCAGCAACGACCGTCACATTGCATTCACCGGCACTGGTCGAAGCTCTCTAAAAACCCTCCAGATATTGAACTCTACTCATCGCATATCATGAAATGCCCCAATGAGCAAAATTAAGCAGGCACATGTTGACCAGAAACGCAACGCATAATCAAACTGTGGGATGTCTCAACGCCCGGAAATTCATTTACACGCCGCACACTCTTCACCACATGCCGTCAAAAAATCTCTTCGCGTGCGCTTAAAACGGATATGAACCAAGTTCTTCTCAAAATTAATTACAAAAACTATCTTTTACCACGTCGTAAATAGCAACTAGTAATCGTATACAGATTGTGTCCAGACTCGGGACGCACAATCGCGACAAGACGAGATGTCTCGACCGGGAACTGCACAATCGCGATCAGCGGCCGCTCAATCACAATCGCCGAGGCAGACACTTACCTTAGATTGTGTAAGGAAAACCAAAGGAAACGAGAAGAAGGCGGTGAGATCTTGGAATTTGAGACAACTTTGATGAATTCTCAACACGGGAAAGAGATAAACGAAGCACGTAGGAGGGGCTCATATGGGAACAATGTTAACCGTGAAGAGACCTTCATGTTTTTATTTGATTTACCACAGCTCTTTTTGTTAGAAATTTTATCCTACCTTCTCTGACCTCCTCCAGCACCGAACTTCTTGTAAAACAATTCGTTCTTATGCTGCAGTAATTCAGCTAGCTGTGCTCCGCACACCGATGTTCGCACTGAAAGCGGCGGTAGTGAACTTGTGAACATGATCACAGTTTTCAAAAAGACAATGAGATAAACATGTATCTCCAATAAAAAAGAATCCAGACAACTTCAAAAAAGAGCCCTTGAATCTATGAAAAGGTCCAACAAAAGACCAGAAGCTCGACACAAAGAAAATGTACAAAAAAAGGAACATAAAAAGCACTGGAAAGGCTAGACTTACTTGATCGAGTCTGCATCAAAAGATGTGCGGCATTGCGTTCTTCTAGCGATTTTTCATCACTAATCTGTTCCGTATCCCCGAACATTTCGTTCCATTCGCTATTCATGTCCGCTGGAGCGATCACCTTGAAAGCAACATGTACAGGCTGAATACCTCTGTCTCTTACGCACTAGAAGCAGAATACCTTAGTTTGCGCAACACTACTCGTCACGTAGTTATGAGCATTTCGCCGAACTTTCGCGTAGTTGCTTAGAGGAGAGATCAATAATCCCTTTATGCTGAGTTAGTTCAGACTCCATGCCGGCCCTAAACAATATTTTTATTTACACCGATCCTCTGTAGGCCTTTAAAATAAGCATAACGAGTAAAATAGCATAACGAAGTTATTACGCGTCAGACTGGGCGATTGCGCCGATCGACACAATCACCGAGTCTGACGGACATCCTACAGCGGCAGGAGATAGAGAAGTGTCTGGTAATAACACCCCTTCTGGCCTTCTCAGTTCTGAAGCTTGGTTTGGGCACAAACAGTACGACGGAAGAGGAACTCACGTCCTACGGAATTCCGCCCATTTTCAATAAGAGTCGATTGAATCGAGAGAACTTCTCGAATAATTCCGAATCGAGAGTTTCTCTCCCGAATACTCGGGTGAACCACGAATCATGGCATAGTGATCACACCACCTCTGAGACCTCGATCTAAAAGAGAATTTAGATTGTTTATCGAATTGAAAAAAGGAGATAGTGCTTGGGAAACAGCACATTCTTTATACAAGCATACAAGAGATCAGGACTTGCAGAACCCATTTACCCAAGAAAAGATGAAGGGCTTCCCGTATGCTCAGGACTCATTTCCGTGACTTTCTTCCACACATCTCGCGGTATTGGCGATTTTAAGCATGTCAGTACCACTACTCGTAAGCAGTGGATAGCGGGGTAAGAATTCTATATAAACTACGTTCAGTGTGGGAAAATACCTTATTATATGAAGCCGTACAAAGAAAGAGTCCTGTATACGCCGCCGAACCCATGTAGCAGGCGACAGTGTACATCGGCCCAGCGACCAAGAGATCGAGACAATCACAGCTCCACGACTTCACTCGATCCATATCATTCTGACCGAAAAAACACAATAAGTTTGGCTACCCACTTGAAGAGCCCCTTTCGGCCAATCTGCTCCTTACTTGCATTTATACCCAATCAATAATCTCTACTATGTTTAATCTGTGATGCAATTGCGCAACGTCATTTTTTCTCTAAAACTAACCCATAAGTGAACTTCTACCAACTCACTGGATGTGATAAAAACGGCAGCGTGTCTTCCAAGAGCTCGAGAACTTCGTTTCTTCCCAATACTTTTGCTTCCACAAGAACAATAATGCAGTGTATCGCATATATCACCACCAGCTCTTCAAAATCATGCAAACCCTGAACAAAAACACAAAATTATCTCCGAGAAAAATCGAAACTCGATGCGAACTGACGCATTTCGACGAGTTTCTCTGGAACACAAGTCAAGTTATGACAAAGGCATTGATGAGACTAGATGAAACCCTCGAAGGAGTAGTTTATTAACTCCTTAGCTTTGGCCGATCTTCTCACCTGCTGTAGCAGTGGTTTCACATCGAAGCTGTTCTTCTGCACACATATCGGCAGTGACTCGAAAAATACTGCGCGTAATCGCCAGTCACTTTTGACATTCAAGAACGTGATCATATGACGTAACAGTATCTCACCACCTAAGGAAGATTGCAGGTTCATGCCAATTTAAAAGCGAGCAGACTAATATTACAAAGTAACTTACAGTTCATTCTACTAAAAAAGGTGTATAACTTCGCTAAGGAGTCTCGATTCACTGCACAGTGGCGAACACTATTGTCTTGACTACTGCATAACATCTCAAAGAGGTCACTGAGCGCCTTTTGAAGAGCAGTCTTCTCATCAGCCGCTTGCTGTGCCTCTTAATTCGAAACTCATCACAATAATAAGATAACAGTGGAGAGATTAAGTATTAGGGAAGCCTCGAAAATTTACGCGAGAAACTGAAGATAAACAAGACTAAACTGAGCAGCATTTGCCAGAATCTGTATGAAATAGAGAAGCCACACACCTGATATGTTTTCAGCCCCTGAAATTTCATCATCGGCAACACCGTTACGCAAATTCCGTCCAACCTCATGGAATCTCAAATACAACAATAACCCAATTGCATTGCTCTATGAGTTCAAATACAAGAAACATACCTGTAAGCTGTTTCTGCAATGTCCCCCAAGTTTTTCGCCACAGCTAGAAGGACATGAGTCGGGCAAGGATGCCTTTTATCACCCAACATCGATGACTAAATCAAACAGAATTAGAGAAAATTTAGAAGATCTCACGAAAGCTTGAAAACCAGAAGAGATTTACCAGTTCTGGAAGCAGATAATCGATAAAAACCAGTGAATCTTCGAATGTCGCCGGTTCGATTGGCCGTAAAAGTTCCGTTATTGAGTACACCGCCGAAGCTCGCACTTGAGCGTCTACCTCAGACAAGCAGCAAACCTAAGGGGAGCATGTATTGAAAAAATGAATCATCAAGATCTATAAAGTTACAAACCAAATATGGCAGCACTCGCTCTGTCGATACCACTGGACCACATAGCGACGCCAACTTTACCAGTAAATTCATGGCATCCTGCAATTAGGCCCACATAAAATTAAATGTGGATTCAATTCTTGAAGGCCATATGTGACTGCGATAAGTTCGCAAAAAATTCAGAATTCAAAATCAAAAGAACAGCGAGCTTAAAATATAGCCCTCATGAAAAAAAAAACTTGCAATTTTTGCAGGTACACTGCGCAACACACGTATGTTCGCAGTAATGAGCGATATGAAGAGTATGGCATATGGTTTGTTTTCCTCGCATTCAGTGAGACGCTCCCATATGGATTTCTCATCGCGTTTAAGCCTCAAAAGGGTAACAATATGTGAGCAGGTGATCTTTAATCTCTTTAGAACTCTCACTTTGCAATGACGTCATCGGGCTCAAGATGGAATGTCATCTGTGACTGCTCAAAGCCTTCCAATGACTGTGATGTTGTTATTTCCTTGGGACGGAACGCATTCAAATAGCTGAAGAAAGCATCGAGAACTTTCGGAAAATGAAGAACCGATCCATCTAACTGAAACAAACCAAATGTTAAACGGAATATACAGAACATCTCTTTCTGAAAAAGATATTGAACAGGACTGTAGCACTAACCACTTGTTGAGCAGAAACCCGCAGTGAAGGGTCGCGATTTAATAGTAATTTCAGCAGTGGGCGAAACTGTGAGGCAATATCCTGCAGTAATCTGTAAATGACTAAGATTTTTAGAGACCTTAGCGCCCTTTCCTATCAAGGGCATTTCGGTAAAATAGTTTGTGACAATTATAGTGGAACCAATTTCTGCAGAAGGAGGAATATGTGAGGTGGATGAGACAAATATATTGGCCGCCACAACGGAAAAACAATACCTCTCCAAGAATGACGCCGCGTCACTGCTGGACATTCGCTGATAATGGCAAAGCTCTCCATAAGAGAATGGAGGCTTGCCAGAATCATGTAACAGTTCATATACGACACATCCAACAGCGAAGAGATCCATCGACGGCTGGAGTGAGCCTGAAATGCTGCCGTGAAGTGACGCTTATTGTGATGGTACCCGAGAGCTCACCAAAAAGCCATTCGTCTCCTTTTTCTTTGTGGATAAGTTCGTATTCCACAGACGAAAGGAAGCGTTCCGGTGCTAAGTAGCAGTGTTGATGGCGACTAGTGTCAAAGAAAAATGTGAATGATGATGGGTTATCCTGAAACCAGCTCGGAATTAAAAGAAATAGAGTTTCACCAAAACTGCATAAGTTATGTAATTGTACTTCACTGGATGATTTGTGCATTTCCTTTTCTATGCATTATGACCAAATTATACGAGAACAGGAATGATTATCATTTCTCCAGAAAACAATGTTGCGGTGATATTCCATTGACAGTCACTGTCATATCATGCTCTTTAGACTTACATGAGGAAGGTAAGTAGGCTTGTACGGTGCGAAGTCGGTGATTTGCAACCAGTTCGAAGACGAAAGAAGAACATTCTGCGGATTTCAAATCCCCGTGGCAAACATTTGCCTTCTGGCATTGCGCAATCGCTTTGAATAGCTGATAAATGTACCTGTAAACCCTTGTTTTTATGCTGAAGCACAACAAAACCAGCACTCATTGTGAACTGACCAGATCTTTTCTTGCTGAACGATGAACGGTCTTGTACTCAACCTATCACAAAGAGTCTGTTTTTGAAACGGACGGATCAGTACAGCCCATTTTGGAGTCACCTGGAGGAATTTTTGCTCAACCGCCCAAAGACACCTTGTGATGAAAAGTACTTACGTAAATTCTTTTCACAGTACAACAGTTGGGCGCGTTCACAAGTGCATCTCGAATACGAAAGAGCTCCTTCCGATAAGGCTCGTAAACTGATGAGTCCTCCTGAATTTTCATCCCAAAATAATGAACTTGGCACGAAATGAAGATTGTGGATTACATGATAGCATAAGTAACAGGGAAATCATGAATGGGCGCTAGGGTGCTTTGGTTAAGCGGGAGGGGGCATCATGAGCAGACTATCGTTCAAGGCTTCCAAAACCGCAACAAACTTATCGGTGCTATACAAGTAGGGTGGGCACGCCGCATTTTTTGAACAGAAATGTATGTAAGTGGGACTGCTGCCCGCTACTATACTGTCACGAGAATCGGGGAATTCGTGAGCCAGGGGAGTGTAGCCAATCTAGGGGTGGGGGGGGGGGGTGAGGGCAGTCACTTGCGTGAAAAGCTGGGCGTGCCCACCCCACTTGTATAGAGCCAACTTATCCATCTTAATACTTGTTCAATCCCAGTCAAGCAGGATCGAAGTGAACCCCACGGCTTGAATCTCTCTCTCCCCCTTCCCCCCCGAAATTGGGATTATTGTTGCCTGGACGGATTCTTGCGCCCTTAAACCAACCATACGACTCACCTGAGTAAGAAATACCTTCCATACACAAGTCCCTTCGCTGTTACGACCTCGAGCCACTTTCATGAATCTGGTACTTCCAAGGCTGAAAATACGACCACTACCTTTATGTGAAACTCATGAATACATCGATTTTACTCGTAAATCACTCTTGCCTTTCTATGGGTTCTCCGCAGGCCAGATCATTCAAGTAATATTCAACTGGGAGCACATCTGACGAGCTTGACGACGAATGCACATTCCCCATGCTGGAATAGGTATCTCAGCCAAGGGCTGCTCAAATGCATCTCGCCATTTCGCAAACAAAATGAAGATTCCACTTACATTTATGTGTTGCATTCAATATCGTGCCATTCGTGTCCCGACAAATGATGAGAAGCTCCCCAGACTGGTGCGCCCCAATCGAACAGCCTTGCTCCATTCGACTGCGCGCGTTTGCGTGACGATTTTCTCTTTGAAATTTGGAGCTGCTCCAGCTGCGCGGTCGTTTAACTTTAGCTTCATTTTTCGTTTTCTGCTGCTCTCGGTATATTGTTGCTTTTGTAGGTGCTCATGTCATGGGGGATGGCGGGTGAGATCCGCGCGCGAGTAGCCACTCACACTGCCTGAGGCTGTTTCAGACGGAAGGGATTTCTGAGAAGGCATGTCAGCAATTTTTGTTCTCCCTGGCGTTTCCCCCTCTTGGGCTGAGTACTAATGCCAATCAACAGCGGTTTTTGAAGGCCCTGTTTTGAGTGTCATAACCTCCCCCCCCCCCCACCTAAAGACATGAGTGCCTTTTTGCAGAGTACAGTTGTTCTAGGGTGTTCTCAGCTAATCTGATTATAGGTATTTTATGGAAGCAGCCTCCACAATCAGACATGCACATTAAGGAGGTACGGTTACATGTACTAGTTATTGTGAAAGTCAAACCGAATAGCTTATCTGATAGTTTAAAGGTCAACATAACGGGATTCCGTAGTTATCGTGAAGTTACGAGTATCGACAGCTTCTCGCCCAAGCACAACGTCATAGTTGGACGCAATGGCAGTGGAAAATCCAATTTCTTCTTCGGTCAGTTGCTCTTTTTACCAGGCCCAACAAATTTGCGCTCCATCTCATTCGGTCGGAAACAATTCCACTAAAAAGTGAGTGGTATGATGAATTTCGCCGTTGCAAATGAAAGTAGAGACGGCAAGAGATGCAAAGGTGAGGAGAAACAAATAAGGTGAACGACCTAAAATCAGCAAAATGCAGCCACTGGTACGTGATTCTCTTATAAAGGCTGCGCTAACCTTTGGTAAGCGTTGCAGGGCCGCTACGGGGCTACTTTAAGGCCTGGAAGCGCATAGTTGGTCGGACGACAGCAACGACTGCAAGGTCGCAAGGAAAAAAAAAAAGGGGGGGGGAAAAAACAAAAAAAAAAAAAAACAAAAACAGCATCGGGTGGCGTATCGATCTGCGACAGCAGCGGTCGGACGACAGCAACGACCGCAGGTGTCGCAGATCGATACGCACCCAATGCTGTGCGACACTTGCAGTCGTTGCTGTCGTCCGACCGACTATGCGTCCGGCCTAACAACGAAAGTGCCGGTCCCCGGTCTTTCAGGCTTGGCCTCCCCTGACAGCGGACAGATTTCCCCTTCTTTAGCATCTATTTTATGGTGCAACCTGTCTTTAAAATACTTAGGGATTATTCCTGCTGCCAAAAAGTCCACATATCGATTTATAAGTTTTGCAGCCATTCAATTCGTGCTGAGCGATGAGTTCAGTCACCTTCGTTCGGAGCAAAGAATGGGAGTGTTGCACGAAGGTACTGGACCTCGTATCAATACGGCTCGTGTCGAAATAGTATTTGACAACAGTGATCGAAGGATACCCGCTGTAAGCCTTGGCCTCATTTAGTATTTCTTTGCTACAACATTTCTATCATTTTGAACAGATCGAGGGAACTGAGGTTCGAGTGGTACGGCAGGTTGGTCAAAAGAAAGATCAGTACTATATTGATGGGAAGATGGTACCTCGAGCAGAGGTGAGGGATTCATATCACATTTCGCCTTCCCCTCCTCCCGTGATCCTCAGATTTTCTCAGGTTGTCAATCTCATGGAGTCTGCTGGATTTTCACGATCTAATCCATATTATATCGTCAAACAAGGAAAAATAAACGAATTGGCTACCGCTCCGGATTCTCACAGGTATTCAGGCGCTCCTTATTTTGCAAACTGTTAGCTTTATTCACGAAGATGCCTCTGATTTCACGCTTGCTGTAGAGTCTAGGTTGATTATAAGGCGTTTTTTAGGTTGAAATTGCTGCGCGAGGTCGCCGGCACTCGAGTGTATGATGAGCGAAAGGAAGAGAGTCTTAAAATTCTGAAGGAGACAAGTATGTGCAGTAAGTGATCCTGTGCAGGAAGCAAGCAAAACTTTCATTTCAGATAACAAAACAACAAAAATCGAGACGCTGTTGTCGTATATCGATGAACGCTTGAAAACACTAGAAGAAGAAAAGGAAGACTTGAAGGAGTACCAGAAATGGGATAAAATGAAGAGATCGATTGAATACACAATCTATGATACCGAAGCTAACGAGACAAGAAAAAAGTTGGAAAGGTTACTTGACCAAAGAGAGGAGCTCAGTACTCGTCAAACTAAGGTGCGTTCATTCCGGCTGTTCTGTTGATCCCAATAACAACATAGAGTAGTTAAGGTCAGTAGTGAGTTGGTAGAAGTTCAAGCTCGAGGTGTCAAGGCTGGAGCGGAACAACGAAAATTGGAGTCTCGTTTCAAAGGAATGAAGGAGGAGAAGGTATGCTGATCATGTTTTGTTATTTGCACTAGGCCCACTCACTAGCGTAGTAGCGTCTCGTTTGTTTGATTATTTGATATTCATACGTTCTTTCATGTGAGATGCTTGGGCTCTTCTGCATCAAACTTATAAAGATATTCCATTGAGTCATGATATAAACAAAGAACCGTCTTCAAGTGAGTTTGTTCAGGAAGCACTCGTTGTTGAGCAAGCACAGCGCTTTGAGAAGAAGGCAGAGTTGGAGTTGCTGATAAACGATCTGAAGGAGGACGTTGAGAAGTGAGTGACTTCTTGTGCGTTTTTGCTCTTTTTTGTTCACTGGAAATTCTTTCAGGGAAAAGAGTGGTCGTAATAAGGCGGAAGATGTGCTCAATCAAGTTAAAGTCGAAATCCGAGAAAAGGAAGAAGAGCTGGAGCGAATCACTCCTAAATACCAGGTATGTAGAGACTTATAGACTGATGGTCGCCGTGCATTGAGCTGCCTGGATTTCATAATTCTTATTCAAGGAACTCGTTGAGAAAGAGGCAGCTTTGTCCTCCGATATCCGTATCGCGGAAATGAAATCGAAAGAGTTGTTCGCGAAGCAGGGTCATAAGTATGTTTGATCTCTATGAAGCCCTTTGACATATGTATCGATAATCTATCCCTTCCCTCTGAGAAGAACATAGTTGTCATCATCATCATACTACTTACTTCCATGTTGTCAGTCCCACTTATGTTTAGAGACCAGTTCAAGTCTGCGGAGGAGCGTGACACCTTCCTCCGTCGGGAAGTACGGCACATGACTCGTCAGATTGACGACACTGAAGAGCAAATGAAAGATATCGAGAAAAGCTTGGAAGAAGAGACGCATGAGGAAGAACAGTTGACAACCCATGTCCAGGTATTTGGTCATAACATTTCTTCGAATGTCAGCCAGTCCTTTTTTCATTTATGCTTAGGAACTTGGCGTAGAGCTCCACGAGAATCTTATTCGAATGGATAAAGCCAGCTCTGAACACGGTCGTCTGAAACAAGAGTTCGACAAAGCTATGGTTGCTCAATTGTGAGTTGAATAGTCTTTTTATAGTCACAATATTGTAGAATCTTGCCATAATTTGCAGTTGAAATGCAAGACGATGTACGGAAAATCCAAGTTATCTTGAAGCTTACAGTATAATGAGAATTTAACGAATCTGCCATAGCATTTCTTTCTTTTGTACCATATGCTAATGCTGGAATGGCTCCATATGATTTTAAATTTGATAGTTACAAAAAGCCACTTGTGTACGGATTCTTCCCCATCAAAATTTCCCTGTCCTGACTTAAGCTGTTTCAGAATGCCCCTCGTGAAGAGAAGCTATTTCGTAACGCAGTTACCTACAATGAATCATGAGATAAAGCCCCAAAAGGAGCCAACAGATCGTTCTAGACCTAGGTAAGGACGAAGTTTCCCTACATCATTATACGTCAACTTACTCAATTTTTTCTAACTGTGTTTCGACTTTTTTCTATCAATTCTAAATCCTTTACTTCGTGCCTCTCAATTCGATTTGCAGCTTCTGCATTATGCTACTATACAATTCCATGTGATTTTATTCGAAACGTGGAGGTGTCGTATGCAGGAATTGGACGGTTTCATGCGGCTAGTCTCGATCAAGTTCTCGTCCCCGGAAACCGAAGACTTCCATTTCTTTGAGTCCCTGTACGCTGCTGGCAGACTTGTATTATGGAGTAAAAAACATAGATTGTACATTGCCTGGCCCCTGCAAGTGTTGAAACCACAAAGTGGTAAATACCACAACGACTGATGCGGTTAATCCGGCGCTTCTTAACAAAGTCTGATAACATACACTAAAGTTCACCTTTCATATCCTCTTCATTCCTCTGTTATCCTAGCTCAATGCGAGCAAAAGTAGCAAAATGTGCAGTCTGTTCAATGGTGTAGAGGGGGTACGAAGAATAGTGCAGTGGTTCCGCGACAACAACACCGACGGACGCCATGATGATGTTGTCAAAGGATACCACGGTGGTCATTCATCAGTTGCACTGCTATTTATAAGTTTCGCTTGGTGTTCAGAATTTGAAGATTGATTAAATGTAGGCATCTTTCTCGATCTGAATCGATGCGAATTCCAAATATTTCCAACCCAGTGTAAGGACTGCTGGTAACGCGTCTCCTTTTCACGTTGTTTCAGATGATAGTGATCTCTTCACTGGTCTCATTCTTCATTTCTAAGTGATTAATGCGTAAAATTTCAGGGTGGCTTTGAAAATAATGAAACAGTTTAACCAGCAGAACTTACCTGGAGAGTGCAACTTTTTCCCAGTTAACAGAGTTGTCGGACCACCCTCGAAAAGAATATCAGGATGGGGTGAGCTTCAAGAAGGTTATATATCTATAAATGGGATTCGGATTAAAAGTAATGAAAGTTTTTTATTCCTTTTTTACATCTAACGTGGGGACGATGCAGAAGGTGTCCGTCCCAAAAATGTTCACACTTTCGGCGCAATTAGCTCCGACACAGTACTAATAGTGGCGGTTCGCTCGCGCGCTCGTACCCTATACAACTTGGGTCAGAAGGCATCATCCATTCTTCAAATCGATCAAATTGTCGATGAACAGACTGCCAAGCGAAACTTTGCACACTATATTAATTTCTAAATCAAGTCAAAGATTCTTTTGTCAAATTGACATAAAGTCTCATTGCATTTTCAGGATGGCCGTGCTATTTCTAGATGTAATTCATATTATGATGAGTATACGATGGCAGTGTCGCCAACGTCTTTGCCTGGTCAGAAAAATTTTATATTTTCTTCAGGATTACCAATGTGCTTTATAGCAACTGTTAAGGTACTGCTATTGTTCGTGATCTCCATCTTGGTGCTCGTTTCGCGAGAAGTGAAGGGTTCGATTGCGTAACGCTAGATGGAGACCATTCCAATTCGAAAATCAATCAGTTTTTTTCACAGGCTGTTCCGAAATCTTCAAAAGAACAAAGGATTTCAAGTGAGTCGTTAAGATATCCAAAGCGAGGTGCACTTACTGGAGGTTATATCGACACGAAAAGGTCGAAGTTGGAGCTGCATAAAAGCATTAGAGGACAAAAGGCGAATCGTGATCAGTTGCAGGTGAATACTTTCGTTTTCATCCGAATTCTAGTTTGTTTTGGGTAATGTCTGCCTTCATAAACTTGGAAATCAAAATTAATCAAAATCGAAAATGACAAAAATGTTAAGTTTAACACAAACAGATCCAACGAAAGGTGAAGAAGACATGAAGAGCTGTGAGAAAACAGTTTTACACATGGAAAGTCGACAAGGTAAGACACCTTCAAATTCTTAACAGATCAAGCAATTTTCTCCGGTCCAGTTCCATTTAATTTTGAATTTTCTTCCCAGGCTGCTAACGATACTGCGAGTTGTACACAAGCAACAGCATCGTAATCTCACTGAAAAGAAGCGGTACGCCAGCGAGCAACTGCATGCGATGGGGCGAAACCGTGAGCCTAAGGTGAAGTTTTAGATATTTACTCATTGTTTGCGGAGAACTTAATATTTTCCGAGGTGAGAATGAACGTTACAGTCCAAAATCGTTAAGAGACTCGTTCCCGTAAGAAAATGAGACCTTCACAGAGTTGATACTTTTAGGTTCGAGCTTTTGCTGACTCTTAAGCGGCTGTTACCTAATCTGCACAAAATGCTCAAAAGTTTTAAGTGCTGGACGTTATGTGTTGTTTACACTTCTCTTAACCTGTGATGTTTTAGAAAGCTCAGCTACTAAATCTGCGAAATCGAGTACGCGAACTGCGTGCACAGTTGGAAGGCTACGAAAGTCAAATTGGATCTGAATTTCTGTCCCAGATCAGCAAATCGGAGCAGTTGGAGTGCGAACGATTACAGGTTAGATATTATAATAGGCCAAAGATCTTAAATGCTCGAGTCAATTTTTGAAGAATGATTTTTAAGCGGGAAATTCTCGAGAAAAAGCAACAGCTTGACCAAGTGGCGAAAGAGCGAAGCACACTTGAGACGACGAAACAGCGCCTTGAGAATCAGCTCAGAACGAATCTTCTTCGTAAGAGGGACAGCCTTACTGCGGTAAGGGTTGGATTAAAATTGTAGTCTGAGTTATCAACCAGTTGTTACATACGTTAGTCATTCGATTTCATTATTGTTAACTTTTTTTTTCAGAAAATTAGTGACATCACAGTTGATGAGAAGAGGCACAATTTACAAGCAGAATCTGCAGAACTGAATTCAGTTATTCAAAGGTAATTCCAAAGCTTTAACCTTCTTCGAAAAATTTATTTGACGTACCTTTACAACGCTTGTTTTCTGTTAAATTCTTTTCACTCTGATCTTTCTACCTATTTTAAATGTATACATGTGCGTGCTATGTGCGGAAAGGGAGAAGCTTTGTCGTACATTAAACCTTTCCATTTTGAAGTGAACGGAGTACGGCTCCAATCCCATAGTTCTTCTTGCCTTTTGATTTTTAATTTTTCTTTCTGCAGGTTGAATGAAATTGTTCGCCGTATTGCTGAACTAGATGAGCATCTGATGGAATACGAAGAAAGCGCAGAGAAGTTGAATAGAGAGTTGGAGGACGTGCAGGTGGGTGTGTTTCATGAGATTTAGTGGATTTTGTAAGAAACACTGGAACCGTAATACGAAGATTACAGAACCAGCGTTTCTTTGCTTCATAGAGCTTTCTTGTCATTTCAGTGCCATTAGCTGTCTAAGTTGCGTTAGGACCTTTTGTTTGGACGGATCCGATAATTAAATCACAGGGGGGTAGCTTCCCTCCACCAATGCCAGTCAAGCCGGCATTGTGCTCCCAAAATGTTGACTAGTGGCCTAGGGTCGATGGGAGGCTTGCTAGACGTGATGGTATTGAATAAAAGCGTGTTCAGGAAACAACGAGAAGAGACTTGAAGCGCAATTGGCACTTCTCTAGCAAAAGCGGATCTAATATAACAAAGCAGAGTACGCTGCAAAGTAAAACGAGAGGAAAATGTGAAAAAGGTCCGTTTAATTTCGCTTATGTGAATCAAATGGTTCTTTTATGCAATTTGGGCTTGGGTCCATTGCCGGTCTCCAAGGATCAAAGTGTAGAGATGCGTCGCCGTAGACAGTTACATAAATAGCTTGCTAGATTCTGTGAACTTGGCTTCAGTACCAACGGATGCTTTTCGAAATATCAAGGAATGAGCACAAAGCAGTTGGACAAGAAATTAGCTGAATGTATGCATGAGCTGAAGAAATACGAAAATGTTAACAAGAAGGTAAGTAAAGTCACTATTTTCTAGCGGTGGTATGATCGTTTTCTTTGTTATGTTTTCTTGCTATTTCTCCTTTTAGTCCCTTATTCAGACATTTGTCATGCTTTTCCAAAATTTTAGGTCTGGACTGATTTGTCAAGTCTATATTTCCTGCAAGAAGGCGGGTCAGAATCAGACCTTTGACCTGCGGAAGCATCAGAGTGCAGTGCGGCTCTCCTTCCGCACTGCGAGTACAGGGGTTTGTCAAGAAGCCAACCTGTGGGATCCACTATTTGCTCACTATCAAGCAAAACTCGTAAACGGAAAGTTTCTCAAAAAGGAAGGCGTGATTGCTCTTCAAAGGTATTAGACTCCAAATCGGAGTCAACGCCACGCCCGATATCGGTGTGGCAGACAGGCGCGAATGTTCACGGACTGCGTTCACTTTTTCGTCGTTGGTCAGCTCGAGCTCGAGCTCTGCGGAATGAATGCTATTTGTAGGCTCTTGACCAATTCGTGCAGGCCGCCTCTCAAAAAGAAGAGCTCACTAAACGAATGGAAGAGCAGCAAAAGAGCCAGAAGGTAACGCAAGAATTAAAAATGCCGTGAATCAATTCACAAATCTTATTTTTCAGGCGATTGAGGACCTATTGCAAGTACTGGATACGAGGAAATTTGAAGCCATACAGTTGACCTTCAAACAAGTTCGTTATTTTGTATTTTGCTAGGTTTTCATCATGGAACGAAAGTTTTCGCAACCTGGTTTGTAATGCTTGTTTATTGATTTCTTCAGGTGTCAAAGAATTTTGTTGAAGTTTTTCAAAAGCTTGTTCCGAACGGCTCTGGATCGTTGGTTATTCAAACGAGCAAAGATGTCAGTTCTCATTCTGTTTTTGCTTTCCACGAAGTATCACTGAGGCTTTCATATTCCAGGACGGCATTGATGCCTCTCAGCACGGAGACAGCCAACCACGCCATATAGTGGAGAATTTTGTTGGGGTTGGAATAAAGGTGAGAGAAATGAGAATGTGGTTGATATTTGCAAACAAAGAAATAGTGCAATCAACAATTTTTTATTTCGTAGTTGAAATGCCGTTCAATTTCAATTCAGGTGTCGTTTGACGGTGGTTCTGAAACACGTGAAATGGTGCAGTTATCAGGCGGACAAAAGTCATTGGTAGCGCTAGCGCTAATTTTTGCAATCCAAAAATGCGACCCGGCACCATTTTATTTATTTGATGAGATTGATGCAGCTCTGGATGCCCAGCATAGGAAAGCGGTTGCAGGTAAGCGCTATTAAGGGTTCGCTCTATTTTTTTCACTGTTAGGGTCAAGTTGGAATGACGTGGGGGTTGTTAGAGATATTGAATTTTTGAAAAATTGCTATTTTCATAAGCGATAGGAAACTAATAAATACAGATGTGGTTCCCCAGGAGCCATTTCGGTCTTCGTTGTGACGGAGTAGGTGTGGGAATGACTGGATGGGAATAACTATTTATAACCAGGCTGGAAGACTAAGTAGTTTACGCAGGTAACGGAGGAAGGCTCATTTTTCTTACAGATATGATTCATGAGTTATCGGAAAATGCACAATTCATCACCACAACCTTCCGACCGGAACTGCTCGAATCTGCTGAGAAGTACTATGGAGTGAAATTCAGGAACAAGGTGACTTTAACTGACTAGCTTGTTTTTTTTTTCGCCGAAGCATTCATTCGTTTGATATTTTCCTTGATTTTGAGATGTAAATTTGTTAATTGTCAGGTGTCCCACATTGATGTCGTGACAAAGGAGCAAGCCTACGACTTCGTTGAAGATGACACCACACATGGATAGCTGCTGACAGATAATTTAATAGAGAAATAATACAATACATGGATATTATATACTGTACCATGAAATCTGATAATTTTCTAAGTTGCTATTTCTAGACCTCGCTTTTTCACTTTCACTTTTTTTTTGTAAATATGTATTCACTAGGTTGCAAACCATATAGCTTAGAAACTCGTGTATCTCGTGTAAAATACTGCTCTATCATTAGTCCGCTCTCCCTATCTCTCATTGTCTTGTATTTTTTGATGACGATTTGTCGTGACGGTGTGGAGGACCTGTATCATTGATCTCCTTATTAAACGGTTTTTTCCTTGAAAATTTTGTTGTACCTGCTCTGCGGTCCTCTATTTTACGTTTTCTTCTCAGTTAGGAGAGAGGAAGAGGTGCCCTGTACCAGATTTAGTCTCTTCTCACTACTATGAAATCGCAAAAACGAAAGGCAACTTCCTCTTCATCTGAAAATGTCAAAGCCGCTCCTTTGTTTGGGTGTGAATACAAAATTGTAGACACAAGCAAATATCTGACACACACACACACACACACACACAACTTCTACAAAAGAAGGGCGAGAAGTGGTTGCGGAAACAGCCATTTCTTTTTATTTCTCATGCCTATTTCCATTTTTCATTTCCATTTCTTTTCATCATAATTTCTTGAACGAGGTGGAATCTCACGTCATAACGATAAAACCCAGCTGACTTAAAGACAGCGGTCGCGATGGCTGAAAAGAGACGAAGGCGAATGGACACGTCATTGGGTGCGCCGCCAAGGTGCAACGTGGCGCTTGTATGGCGTCTGACCCGTCCAATGACGTTTCCACTATCGTGCGTCTCTCAATCGTAGCGAACGCCGCCTACAAGGAAACTAGGTTTGTCTTTGTAATGATAATGAGGATTGTTGTAGAAGGAGTCCTGCGAGTCGCTAAACTGGTTTTACCTCGAACCAGTCTCATTATCTAATAGTCATTTGTCTTGAAATGTGCAAAGGAAAAATGGCAAACCACATCTGCATTCGTACTTAACTACGTTTGAAATCTCGTCCGTCCGACGCACGATGCGTATTGGCTCTGTTCGATCTCGGCTCAATCTCTGATAGCTGCCCAAGATCGTTTAATACTCTGTAGGTACATGCTCGAGTCCGAGTATGATGTCCCAAGCACTTTCGGTTTCAAAAACCCCAAGGGCACTACGTGATCCTGAGCATGAAAGGAATAAGTCGCTTGGCATCATCAGTCTATTTTGGAGCTATGTCGTGCATCCGACATTCATTAAGAATAGTATCTTCATCTATTTGTTTATTTTGCTTACCTCCACACAAGTCTGGTAGCAAACAGCCGACTCCGGTGGGGTAAATGGTTTTTTAATCTGGCTGGCAACTATATATGATCGAATTTGATTGTCTGGGCCGTGTGTACCGTAGCTGCGGCAAGTCGTCATTACCTCCCTCAAATTTTCAAGGCGCCCTTGAATAAGAAATAAGGCTTAGAAATCGTTCTTGGGAAAATCGTGATACCAATCTCCGCCGATAGTTCACCTGCTGGAAACCATCTCGTCAAATGATCAGTAACCGAAATGAACACATAAATTCATTTGTTTCGCGGTCAAAGCTCGAAAAATCGTATAAAACCGAACAAGGCTGCCAGCGTTCAAAGTACCGCCGGACATCTGTCACAAATGCGAGCGACGGTAATGCTTCCACTTGGTTCTTGGAGTGCCTTCACTAGAAACTCTTTCTGGCCTTTTGACTTATTGCATTCACATCTCACACTTCTACTCCATCCTATTCTATCGATCGATTTGTCTCTACTCTCCAAAATCGCACGCTTTAACCCGATTCTTTCATTGCGTCGCCTGATACGTAGCCGCCCCAAGGCGGACTTCTTTCCATGCCCCGCCTTTGGCTCCGCGCCACTTACCTTCGATTGTCCATAGAGTGTGGTTTTTGTAGTTTGTTTCTCTTCGGAAACCGAATCTTCATGCGTGAAACTTTGTATGTTGTCTTCCAGTGATCACAACTGACATATTCATGTTGGGAAAGAATGCAAGAATTTTTCCGGGAAGGATTCCTTTAAGATAAGGGTCTACACACTGAAGGATGACCATGTCTTGCCGCGCACAGTAATCCCGATTTTCCCAGGGGAAGCTATCTGTACCTGTAAGGAACAGGCAAAACGGTTTTGTCGTCGTCGACGATCCCCTGCTGTTATGTATGCGCCCAGCCCCCCGCTATCAAGTGGGGCGGTGCGCGGAATTGTTCTAAGGGCCACACACTCTCGATACCTAATATATCACTGAACCACCTTCCTTGTCTCTCAAAAAGGGTAGTCAAAACCCAGTCTTCAGCACCCATCCTGGTCAGCACCCTGCAGAACTTTCATCTTCCAAAATTATGTTTACTGTAGCGGCACTAGCCATTACTCGGCCATATTTTATTATGGATTCCTTCCCGACCAGTGGACTTCAAGCCAATTTTTTGAGCTGCTTGAGAAAAATTAAGTTCATGTCAATTGCAACGGTACCACCCCAGGACGCTGCGGGTGGTTACAAAGCGGTTGAATGTTGCACTTTTATGCCCGACTTTCCAAATCTATTGAAATTTGAGAGAATAAACGCTATTTAAAAACAAATCAAAACGACAGCAAATAAATGAACTAAAAGTGCATAATTGGTCGAGAACCACAGAATGGTCGCCGAAAGACGTAAACAAACGTTGAACGCAAGTGGCGGGTAACTCAATATTGTTTGGGTGTTCAATTTTATAAACACAATCACTTTGCAGAGTTAATCACGTGAGGATGCTGAAGCAGCAAACACATTGTAATTTGACGTCATACCCAGAACTTCTTTGCTCGCGAACTAATGACATCTCGTCCATCAGATGCTCCTCCCCTTTCTAATCAGTCCTGAGAATCTTGGTAACAAGACGCACGTTTAGCCTGCGCACCATGAGAAACTAATTGCACCGCCAGCAAGTTCGGCTAGTGATTACTTTTCGAGCTCCAGGCGATTCTCTGTGATACGTGCTTAATCACACAGTTAAATAATAATCATTAAATCAATGTTATTTGATGCACGCATAGGTGCGCTATAACATAGCCAATAGTGTACCGCATGAAGAGTGAAGCTTGACCGACCTTAACTCGTAAGGGAAAGAGAGTTACCACGCGGAAGACAAAAAGGAAATACATACCAAACTTCTGCCCAATCGAAGAAATTGTTGAGAAGACCTGGTGTTACCACGTTGAGCAGAACACGTGATACCAAAAATGACTCCAGATAGGCGGATGGCGCTAGGGATAACGCCACTCCTAGACGAGCTCGGAGCATACGTACGGAATCCGAAACTGAATTTTCGGATGTTAGGTATTCCCTACCCCTAACAATTCAGTTTCGGACCCGCCTCAAAAGATTAATTCAAACCAGAATAAACATCAAAACTCAACTAAGTAGAGCTTAGTCAGAAGAGAGAAAATCTGTAGATAAACGCAGACATCCACGTAGATTTCCCTCCCAAACCGTTAAGGTCAATCAAAAACGACAGCGGGTTCCATAGGAATAGCATTTGTGAAAGCAACTCAAAAAGAAAAAAAATACAAACAAACAAAAACAAACAGAAATCAACTATCTACTATCACAGCCTTCTAAAATATCGGTCGAACTGACAGTTAGAGCGCAAGAGACAAACGTTCAGAGTAAATGTCCGATAACTGAAAAAAATCCTCAAGGATATCAGAAGTCTTGAATGCCAAGAAGCGCTAAAAGATCAACTTTCTGACTCGCTCTTGAAAAATTGCATCTCGCAAGGAGATGTGGCCAGAGCAATTTGTGAGCACGACGGTGGTAGGTGGAGGTGGGTTATGGTAACAAGTCCTTATTGACCCGCGGGCGATCAAGCTAGCACTCAGATATGGTATCTCACGATCTTAAAGAGGATAGCATTTACATTTCGTTGTCCATTAACATATAGACTGCTATATTTATGTGCTTGCGATAAGCCTCGGCCTAGTCGATCGAGACTTTGCTTACTCGACAAGGACCAGTCACAATATTATCTGCCACTGTCATCCTTGTACACACTTGTGCATAAGATGTGACCTCTATCTCTCACCATAGAAGTGCATCCTCTTTGCAAGTCGCTCTATATACGCTCTATTAAATTTCACCTGCTCAGTTTTGCACCAATACCAATCGTTTTATTTGCGTTCATGTATTTGAGAACTTCTTTTTATTAAATGTCAATTAAGTTTTCATATTTTATTCTGATTGTAATTTTTTGCGTAATCCCAATTGATTTTGTACTTTTCAAATTTGTAAGGTATTCAGTGTAAAGGCCAAAGAGCAATCAAATCTCACAGCGCTTTTGAGTGGAGGTAAAGAGCATGGCGCATAACGAAAGAGATTAGTTAGCGCCGTACGCGTCATGGCTCATCCGTCTCATTGTTGTCAGCACATAGCCCTGGACCACATCTGTCTTGTCTGTGCTCTCGGGAAGGGTCCAAGTCTAGAACTTTTCGTATTTCCAGTTGCAACACATGCCCTCTCATTAGGCTGTGCTGTTCCGGGTTGACGACTGATTTACGAGGGTTGGAGTGGAGTGAGATGTTGTGAGAGAGCAGCAACCCGTTGTTGTAACGTCAGCCACGACGACCTCCAGTATCAACATTTCCACGGCGTTCACATCAAAGCCGATCTACTACGTCTGTTCAGCTGTGAATGACGTCCGTTGTCGTAAGGAATACGCATGGTAACATCTCCTGTTGCTCCGCCCTCAAAGCGCTCAGACCACGAGGGTTATGCCTGGGCAATGCTCTTCGGCGGCGCTTAGCTCGATTTCTTCTTTGATCATCCAATTCA